TTTTTTTTTTTTTTTTCTCATTTTTAATGTATTATTTTAAATACTTGTAATCAATTAACCGTATAAAATTATTTCCGCTTGGATAAACAGTGAAAATTACATTAGTAGGCCCATTAATTTTCTGTATACCGAAAAGGAATAAATTGACATATTTCATTGTAATGATGAATCATATATATTATAGTAACTAAAGTATGGATATATATATGTAAACAATAAATAGTGTTGATTATTTTTAGAGTTGTTGTTGACGATTAGAGGCATTAGGAATCGAACGAATCAATTTTTTATAATTATTTACTCGTGAATTTGATGAACGAAACATACTTAACGCTTCAAATTTCGCTATTTCATCGTCGTTGCCCTCTCCTTTTGCTCCCTCCTTTTTTCCATGATAAGTTAGATACAAATATACTTACTTAATTGCGACTTGTGTGCAGACTTTTTTGCGCAGTTCATGATCAGTGAGACTCGTGAAAGAGAGAGAGAGAAAGACAAGCTGTAGTGCAATATATGTCGCGCTGGTATTCGCGGAGTTCTAATACCTACCTATATATTCTATATATCAGCTGGTCCCCCTAAACATATCATCCGAATAGAGGGAGACTATAGTGTGTTTATAGATGAGTAAGTATAATAGTCTTTTTCATTAATTAAGTGCATGGCCATGGTGTCGTGTTCCAAGTGCGTGGTTAGTCATTACCTGTAGTGTGCACATCTACGTAGTAATCCATACATGGGCTAAAAATTGTCATCAGCTTACAGCCTTTGCGTAAACCCTTTCGGAGCTCCAAATTATATCTCTAAGGGTTTACCGCAGGATACATTTTTCAATTATCGACCAGGTAGGTACATTTTTTTTACTATTTTGCTTGAGCTCTCTCTCTCTAATGTACCTACTAGACATCAAGTCATGAATAAATAAGGCAGTACAGTAGATAGTGTAGGTGTATACTTACATATATTTTCTATAGTATACCTGCGTACATATAATTATTGATGCCGTGTTGTTGAATACGTTTTCGCCTAGACTTGGCATTTTTTACATGATGTATTAATGCGATGCCAAATTATACTGAACGAAATTACATATCGACAAGTGTCAAATGAACACAACGTTTTTTAATTCAATGATCTTATTGTTTCGTGAAAAGATAAAATCATAAGATTTTTAAATTGCAAATCTTATATTACGTACCTACATATTTTTTAGCAACGTAATTTTCGTCCATTATTCATTAATTAATACTCATATTAAGATGTACGCATTTATATACATGTATGTATGTCGATATACATCTAATATCATTTATGATTTTTTTTTTTACATCACATGTAATGTTTACAGCCCAGAAAATCCAATCCGATCAAAACTGAATCACAAAGATGAGTGGACACAGCAGTGATAACTCCTTGTGGAAAAATCACAAAAACTCTACGGGTCCTGCAATTATGGAGAGCCTAGATAGTTTGTCAATTTTGAGTCGTGATGGAAACACTCAAGATTATCTGGTTACTGCACAAGATCAGAATTCAAAATCTTTGACCGTTCACAGTGAACACGAGAGTTTTTTACTGATAGATGGCAATGAAATGCTCAAGGTACAAGTTTTCTTCTTTTCGTATTTTTTTTTTTTTTTTTCATCCATAGATGAAGTTATTTTACGATTCATCCAAACGATATCTCTTACCTTTAGGTTTCAAGTGCAGATCAATTCATCAAGAGGCTCAATTGTCCAAACAAAACGCAAAAAATTAAAGTTGTGTCTATTTTTGGAAACACAGGTGATGGCAAAAGTCATACTTTGAACCACGCAATTTTTAAGGGCCATCCAGTTTTTGAGACCTCCAACACCCAGAACTCTTGCACCTTGGGTGTCTGGGCAGCCTTTGATGCACACCTCGGTGTCATTTGTCTCGACACCGAGGGACTTCTTGGTTTCACAGAAAATGAAAAAGTGCGACTTCGGCTGCTGCTCAAGGTTTTAGCTGTGTCGGACATAATTGTGTACAGGACGCGCTCGGAGCGTCTGCACAAGGACATGTTCTCGTTTCTGGGAGATGCTTCCAAGGCTTATATGAATCATTTTCAGCAAGCTTTGCAAACCGTTGGCCAGAAGGAGGGCTTCCAGGGTCCTGTCATATCTCTTGGACCAAGTGTTATTATTTTCCAAGAGACAATGAACACCATGCCGCTAGTAAACAGTAAGTTGATTCATCCTAATACCTCAATCGTGTAAGTAACAAATGTTTATTAACGATAAACTCTTGAAAATTTCAGATGGCGTGAGAAGTTGCGAGGACATAATTCGGGAGCGTTTTGCTCAGGCCGAGCTGCATATCGAGGCTTTCAGTTCCATCAAGTATGTAGGTGTTCAAACTCAGAAATTGCCAACCAACTTTAGATCGCTCAGAGGAGCTATTAAGCAAGAATTGCGCAATACAACGGTGCGCTCAGCCAGGACACCAGACATAGTCTATCTTACGTTGAAAAATCTGAATGACAAATTTTCTGGGAACATCGATCAGAATCACAACGTGTTTCTCGACCAATATTTTACGTGCACGGTGAAATGCCTCAGTTGCGAGAGTAGGTGTCAAAAAAGTATGGGACACGAGAAACCGCACTTGTGTGAAACCAAGTAATGATTTTTTTTTATTGATAATACAGCTTCACCCCGTAAAGAAAAATTTTGTTTTAAAAAAATTAATCTCATTATTTTAGGTGTCGCTTTCAGCATCAGTACCAAAACCAAAAATACACTTGTAAAAAGTGTTTTTTAAATGGCGTTTATCAGGAAGTTATAAAAAGAGATATAGGAGAAAACGAGAGCAGTTGGTTCAATTATGCTGAATACTTGTGGTCTGGATATGTTTTGGAGTGTTCTACTTGTGGTGAAATTTATCGTAGCCGCAAGTACTGGATTGGCAATAGCAATCCCGAAGATACAGCAACGAGAACTGAAATCACTCATGTTTGGGATGAGGTAAGTTTTGGTATTGAATTTGAAATGATCCGCAATTGCAGTTGTTGACAGTGGCTATTGTTTTTATAAAAATTTAGGCTGATAATTCGATTGACACCCAAAACAAGGCTCAACGGCTTATTGATAACGTGTCGCACATTACCGAAGTAGTGTCGAGCATAGCACACCAGCCAACAAAAGCTCTTGGTTCATGGGTAGCCGACCAAGTAAGACCCAACTCTTGGAGGTCCAACTCTGAAATTACAGAGTGCAACAAATGCCACAAGCCCCTCACACTGACCGACAAATGGCACCACTGTCGCGTTTGCGGTGAGGGTTTCTGCGACACCTGTTCTTCAAAGCGTCGAAGAGTGCGAGGTTGGAGCGGTCCGGTACGCGTTTGTGATGGCTGCTTTGAGCTCGATACCAACTCAAGCGAAGAGGCTGTACCTAAAGTCGTAGACGATGTGACTATGAGACAGGTATCCGAGACATTTGTTTCAACGCTTAGTGCTGTTGGATCGGTATTTAATTACCCCAAATGTAAGTACTAGGCAACTCCAATTTATTTCACTCTTATTGTTTTACTGACTCATTGTTTGTCAATGATTTTTTATCTTTTTAATTAAACATTACAGCAATAATCAAAGATTGCTCCCGTCCATCGTATTGGGTAACAATTATTTTACACCATAATTTAAAAAAATGCTAGTCACACTAAATTTAATTTTTATGCTATCGTTGACATGATTAGGTTCCGGACGCCGAAATAACCAACTGTTGCGTATGCGATGTCAAGTTTATTTATCCAACAGTACCTCTGCATCACTGCAGAGCTTGTGGACGCGGTGTCTGTCATAATTGTTCCCAGCACAAAAAATCAGTACCACGTCGTAATTGGTCAGATCCCGTACGTGTGTGCGACTCTTGCATCAAGAACGACTAAGTGACTCTACTGCAGTGGTCATATATACATTTTATTTTTTTATTTCTTCCATACTTTCGTGCAATGGACGATTAAGTAATCACAAAATATTAGCGATTACTGATTTTAAATAACATACAGTGTTAATTGTTTATTTACGATTGTTTTCCACCACTTAAGACTTTTCATGTCATTGTTTTATTTAAATTTTACGATCAAGTAAAGTTATCACATTTATGATTGTTTGGTTTCTGTAAGAATTGGTAGACTAATTCATGAGTATAACAGTTCTGTATTTAATTTTTTTCTACGAAAATATTTGTATTTTGTAATAGTATGTATAGATGTATGTAGATCCAAAAAAGTATTCATTTCTTATATGTTTGAACTAGGATAAATGATCATCTTAGTGCGTGCAGTTGCAGTTTATTCGTTTATAAATATTTTTTGTAGGTAACGTTATTAACTAACAATTAACATCACAAAGCCTAGTTTTTCTTATTTAAAAAAAATTCTGCTAAAAAAATGACATCAAAGTTCTGGCATGGAATTTGAACTAATTTTGTTAAATCTCTGATTACTTGTTTTTATAAGAGTATAGCACAAGGGTCTTAATTTCAAATAAACCCTAAAACCTTTTCACGTTATTTTTTATTTTATTTTTTTTTAATAAATGCGATTTAAATTAAGCTGTATTTTTTACTGAATATGAATCTAGTTTTGTCTATATACATTGGAATTTAGTACTTAGAAATTAAAAATCTAGTAAATAGTACACTGAAAATACTTACATGTTGTCATAAAAAGTGACTAAATTAGTGTGGAAAACTAAAAGTTTGCATATAAGGTAAGATTGCTACTGTGGAGCAGTTGTGCCTAAAAAGATGACTAAAACGTTATGTGGAGGGTGGTATACTTTGAGCTTTGAATCGAGTCATTTAGTTTTTAATGATTACATAAATTTTGTTTTAGTCTGCAAATTTTAGTATGGTTTTCAACAGTTTATTAGCATTTCATTGATAAAAATTACAAGAAATTTTTCTTTTTTATATGTGCAATTCTATGGTGATTTTTAATTGGTTTGAGTCGCGTTATAAAAAAAAGTATTAGTTTTACAAACCACAAAAAAGTTCCTTTGTTATGAATTACTTGTAATATACTTAAAAAAATGTTAAGTTTGCTCTTGATCAATTTACGAAAGTGTAGGTGGCTGTGATATGTGGAATACTTGTGGGAATACACTCTTATTGTTTAAGGAAGGGAGTAAAATTTCCAAATGCAGGTTTCAATGTATAAAGAGTGGTCTCTCAGCAATCACAATGTCTTTTTTGTAAGAGAAAGTAATAAAAAAATTTTTTTCGAAAATATTAATTTTTTTTCCTAATTCCTTTATATGTACAATCTAATTACATATTATTTGTTGGGACGTCAATTGAGGAAAAAAAGAAATGAAATATCGATGTAAGAATTTTTATCGTTTATTTTTCCACGTACTTTTCTTCTTGTTTTACAATCTTATAATTTTTATTAAACTAGTAAAGGAAAACATGAAATAGGCAAAAAAGAAAAATAAAGAACAATTCTGACAGTATAGACAAGTAAAGTATAGGAAGTGCGATGCGGGTGATCAGGATAAATAATCTGTTCCATTCGTTTAAATTATATAATCATATAATTACAACGTAAATAAAGATTAAAATTAAATTATATATTGCTCTCCTGTACTTACACGTGGTGCAGAGCAAAGGTTTCAATCATTTTTTTCTTTTTCCTTTATTACACATAATTATGAGACGACGTATGACGCGATGACAGTCAATGTTTCTCTATTTAATGATTCTACCAGTGTAGAAAATGTATCTTTTATGTAATGTATTTTTCTTATGTACATATATGAAGCGTAGTATAATTGCTTTGAGATTATATCGAAAATCCACGCGAGCTCAATCGATCGTTGTTTAAAAGTTTATTCCTCAAATATTCTTTCAAGAGTCGCTAATCGTCGTTTCGAAAAGAGAAAAATATTTAATACAGTGAAAAAATATGCTAGTGAGTAGTGTGACAAAAGCAACATGAAAGATGCTTTTGTTCAAAGAGAAAATAAAATAAACGAAAAGTATGGTGTTTAAAAGCATTATAAGGCCCTAAGCCAAACAATTAAACTTTTCAAGTGCAGTAATTATCTGCACCCTTACTGCTTACACTCATTTGTTTAAAAATATTTGAAAATACTTGATACTTTCTATTTGTTTGTTTCTTTGTGTTTTGACTACGAATAATTTTTCATTTCGTTAACATAATGGTTTCGTTTTTTAAGATCTCTCTAGATTCGAAAAACATCTATAAAAATAAATACTTTGAAAGTTTCACTTTTTCACTACACAGTATATATTTGATTATATATAATATAATATTTATATAATAATATTCATAANAAAAAAAAAAAAAAAAAAAAAAAAAAAAAAACCAAGTGGACGTATCCTTCCGCAACAAAATCCATACTTACACGGTAGAGGCGTCGCAAACAACGAAGGAGAGAGCCCCCTTGAGCCTTTTTGCCCTTATCTTCACTACACTCTTCCCTTCTCCCATTTGCATAAAGATCCTCCCCGGGCGGTTGATGCCCCGAGGCGAGATTAAGCGAACCTATAATGGCCCGGGCGATTAGAACGATGGGCCAAGGTGCCGCTGATAAAGAATGTATACATGTACTCACCCTCTGTTGTTCCTGTCGCGGGGATTACTGTTTACTTTCTGCTGAACCTAAAGGATCAACTCCACCGTACAAAGTGCATGTACCAACACGTGTCAAGTGTATATATAATATATGTGTGTATATCCCCAGTCGTATTAATAATTTTTCAATTAGCCGTATAAATTGATCCGCGAAACCGTAAAACCGGACAAACGAGCGCGCGGCGCGATCAAACGGAGCCTATGTACTTGTATACATGGTGGGAGGGAAAGGAAGACGCGTGAGAGCGCTTGTAATTAGACAAACGAAATCTACACGGGCACCGATCCGCGGTTGTTCACGCAGAGCTTTTACGACTCGATCAAACGAAGCACAATACTACCCCTGTATACATGTCGCTACGTAAAATCGTTCCATGTATTAGACGTTGATTTTTCCGCGCACGCGCAACCTGGGGGGGGGGGATGTCACGCTCATCAGTTACATTACCCGTGAAAGCAAAACGACTCAAAAAGGACCCCCTCGCGAGCGAGCGCTCGTACAAACTCATCATCCGAGGACATGATCACGCGTCGTCTAAGCTTAACCGACGAAGAGGTCATAATCTCGCATATGTACCATGTACATGTATACCAACGAGGGAGAGAGAGGAGAGCAACACCTTCGAGGGTAATGCGCACCTCATTTCCATGCGCACAATTTAACAGTCTTGTAATTGTTTTGCCATACCTCCATCCCCCCCTTTACTTGACAGCACAAACAAACAAACACGCGTACAGAGATAGCGAGCAAGATTCTGCATTCTTGTTGGACAGGAGCATACACGTACCACATACGTACAACGCGCGCGTGTGTGTGTGTGTGTCATCTCGTATACAGTGTGGTATACAGGAGGTAGCACAGGTAGCAGTGGTGTGTACGAGCATCGATCGAGGTGCGAGAAAATTGTAGACAAGCTCTGTACAGCAAGGCCGAGAACATGCAGAGCGTGTACGCGGACAGGTACACGGGATCTACACGTATATACTCCCAACTGTACGGCCGGTGTAGTGAGTATGCACGGAAGCTCGTGTAACGAGTGTATATACATGGTAGTTAAAAGCCCCGAGTCGGTTGGCTACGGGGTGGAAAAATCCAATGGGGGGTCTTTTCTTTTCTTTTCCCCCCACTGGCTCCACCGATCCTCGCTAATGTGCAAAACAACAAGGCAATTGGCAATCAACGCGACTGGGACAATACTTACGTATACATACATACGCCTGTGTGGGGAATAATGGCCGATAAATTTTATTGTAATTGTAGGTGCAGGAATATTAATTGTCCGGGAAACAATGTCAGAGTCGTATAATCTCGAAGCTGTGCGGATCTGTTTGAGACGCACTTCCGTCATCGCCTCCTCGTAACGAGCCTTCGTCCTACACGCACACAAATAGAAAAAAAGAGAGAGAGAGAGAGAGAGACAAAAGGTTGAAAATAAAACGTCATCGCCTATATAAACTCTGAATCGAGTATTTCCATTCTGTTGTCTGTTTGGTTGTTGCCTCCAACACACCTAATACGTATATATAGGCACATGAACGATGACTCCAAACGACGCTGCGTCGGCGTTGTTTTAAAATTAAATTTTATTCAAATCGAGGCACGGTGGGTTACTTTCCAATGCAGTTAAACAAACGTACATTGCAGGAAGAGGTGCGTTTTTACAATTAAGTACATTAATTTGTTTAGCATCGTTATTCGTTTGGTAAGACGTGCAGTGATACGAGGTACTTTAACGCGATAAAAACTTTGTCCTTTTCGAGATATTCTCATATACTAGGTGCAATACAAAAGCCCAACTCGTTAGCTCCAGTGAGGCTATGCGAGATAGGCCCTACCACGATTAATATACGCATTGAACTTTTGAGCGAGTGGTTTCAAGAAATATCGCTCCGGTTGCGTTATAACGAGAAGGTCTGAGCTGTCATATACATATTGTGTTTCTCGCGGCTCATTTTTCTGGAACACGAGGCTTGTAAAGATATCTCTCTCTCTCTCTGTTCAATTAAAACCTCGAGACAAGCACATCGAGGAGGGGGTGTTGTCCGAACGGACTAAAATATGGCGAAATTGAGAGGTAGGTATATGTATACGTGGGACGTTCCGAGGCGAGAAAAACAGGAGAGCCCCTCGGATATGCCCGTGATAAACAGGATAACTAATTTTTCCCCTCCGACCGATCGTCGGGTTCATACATATACTCACTCGGACGTTGTAATCCGGAGCTAATGAAGGACTCGAAAACACGCCCTCGAGCCCTTCCCGAAGCAGATACATCCGCGCGATCAATAAAACGCGCCCGATCCTCATACGTGTTTGTATATACATACGGGTCCAGGCTGGAAGGAATCGTCCGAGGCGCCTAATTGTCACGTGATAATGAGGAGTGGAGGAGGATACACACACACACACACACACCGGGGATGACCGGGACTCGGTATATGCAAATGTAAATTGGGGAGCCTTATACGATATAATATACATGTGTGTACACGTATATATAGGGGCTAGCCCGTGTTGGGTGTTTCTCGCTTTCTCTCCCTTGACTCTTGCAGCGCTGGCTTGTCTTCCTCCGCCGTGCCAAATAACGAGATCTCGTCGAAGGCGATCCGTCCGGGGAGATAAACCCCCAACTGGAATCGACTCTACCCACGGGGGTAGGGGAAAAAAAAAACCAAGAAGAAGAGACAGGAATGCAAGTGTATCGACGGGAGTCGAAAATACTTACTTGTAAATTAGACCGGAGCGAGCCGGTATAGGAAGTCATTGTCACCTTGGTATCCGTAGGAAAATGGCACATCTAATGGCACTCGGAGGTAGATCGACCAAAACGTCATCCCGAGAGCGTGTACTTATATGGAAGGCTCGCCGAAACTTTCCGCCGCTTATCTCCCGCTCCCGATCTGTACTGCGCTACACCCCTGAGGTCCACACGGACCAATTTATAACTCGTCGAGCAGTGCAAAGGGGGGGGGGAAAGAAAGACTCCGTGGCATGCGGATTTCTTCCACCGACAGGCGACACCGCGAGAGGACGAAAAAAAAAAAAAAAAAAAAAAAAAACCATGGCAAGTATAAACGAAATAAAATGACCAACGTACTTTGTTGCTTGCGTAATTCCGCGGCCAAGGTTCCATCTCGCTGCGGCACCAATTGTCTGACGTCGCTCCATTTCTTCGTAAGATCCTAAAACAGCGAAAGATTGATCTCACCGCTTGGTCTTCGTGCATAAAATATGCGCACGAAATTGGAAATTGAAAATCCCGTCTTAATTACCGTAGTAGAAAGGGTGGTGTACGGATTCTCGAGTCCTCCAGGTATTTGGAACTGCTTGACGATCGATTCGACTTCGCGAACCAGACCGACGATAGAGTTGTACTCCTTGTCGGCCTCCCCAAGAGTCGCCTTGAACTTTGAGTGAGCGTCCATGAGACCCTGGATCTCCTCCATCGTGTGGACAATGAACATGTCCACGAGATCCTCCCGAGTCCCGTCGAGCCAGTTGTTGAACGGCTGAAGCACGCACAATTATCATTGTACCGGTGATCACCGAAATCTCAAAGAAATAATTGTATTGGCTGCCACTTACCGCGGCACGCTTGGCAAATTCCAAGTGCAGAATGTCGATCTTCTCCAAAATGCGCTCGGCCTCGTCGAGAGCCTGGCGTCTGTTTTGCGTCAGCGAGCCCAGACGATCCCACTGATTGCAAATTCTCTGGCATCTAGCGTTAACGGAAGCACTATCGTGATACTCGAGGGTGCTAAAACATCATCAATCGTCATGATTATTTTGATTATGATTTATGAGTTGTGCAAACAAAGGGGTACATATATGTATAGTACTTGAGCTCCTGAGCTATGGCAGCGATCTGCTCGACGCGGTCCTGGTGGGCGGCAAGGTCCGACTCGAAGGCCTCGTGCTTCTTCTTGAGGGCCTTGAGCTCGTTGAGCTTGCACTGACGGAACAACTGCGAGGTGAGCATCTCCTCCTTGCCGGCGGTCCAATCCTCGTGGGCGTCCGCCTTGTGCTTGAACTTCTGAGCTAGATGCTCGAGTCTCTCGAGCCGCATCATCTCGGATAGCAGCCAGTCCTCGAAGGCCTTCTCGGCGGTCTCGAGGCCCTTCCAGGCCTTGTTGATGTCCGAGACGAGCTTGCCCTCGGTGGGCATGTAAGCGGGTCGATTGCTCAGCCGCAGCTTCGTCTGCAGGGTGTTGAAGTTGGTCTCGAGCTTGGCCTTCTGCTCGACGCGCGGTGGCTTGTGCTTGCGCCGATACGTGCGGTACTCCTCGAGCTTCTTCTGGCAGCCGGCGAGCGAGTTGTCGGTCTGCCGGCTGTTGAGCCAGGGCATCGTGCGCCTGATCCACTCGAGCAGGTCCGAGGCCAGTCGCTCGTACTCCTCCATCAGGCGCTCGTTCTCCTGGTTGACCTTAAGCACCTTGCAGATCCTGTTTGCCGCGGTTTCAGCCTGCGAGCAATTTTTTTTTTTTGTTTTCCCCAATTAAAGATTCCCACTTGCCATGTGATCGTATCTCTTGTGGCTCGGATGAATGAGACGAATGAGGTAAAGTTCAAATGTATTTTAGTGAAAAAAAAAAGAAAAAAAAAAAAGACAAGGACAAATGGAATGAGTGAAAAAACACACAGACCTTTTGAGCACCGCTGAAGCAGTGGTAGTACGACGACACATAGGTCATAACGGCTCGCTCGTCAGGCATAGCTGTGTTACGCATGTCTAGAAACACACACGGGGTCAAGAAAACACAAAAACTCAAACCCATGCATATTAAGTATTTGGTTATTCATATTATCATGTGGTATTATTCGATCGGAGCGTGTGGCACGCATGATCTACAAGAAACTTTTTCAACTAAACTGTCATTGTTAAAATCGACAAACCAATCAATCTGCGTTCTTTGCGACATAACACTGTTTATGGATTAACAATTAAGTCAAATCGTCACTCGAGGAAATGAAAAACAAAACAAAACAAAAAAAGTTATCATATTATTTTTTGAGTGAAAGAGAGAACGAGCGTGAGGAAGATTACATTAGGATGAGAGATAAATGTGCGCAAGTAGTGTGAGTATTATAGTGTTACTTATGGGGAAAAGCGAGGCGAGGTGGGAGAAAAAAACTGAACAATAGCAGTTCACGCAGTTAGCTGCTGACCTGCTGGGCACCCTGGAAGGCATGGTAGTAGCAGGATACGTAGGTCATGATAGCCCTTTCGTCTGGCTTGGGAGTGTTGATCAAATCTATCGGAATATACATTATTGTGCAGTTGGAGAGGATAAAATTGTAAGCTCCTCTATATCATTTGTACTTATATTTGTACAAACGTCCCTCATTGTATCAATAACAACATAATTGATTGTCTCAAAACAAAAAAATACTTGCGCCATCTTAATAGGCCTCTGCCTGCAGATAAGGCTGTACACGTATTATTATATACATCATGAGTAATAATAATAATAAATAGTAAAATAAATTAAAAAAAAAAAAAAAAAAAAAATGAATGAGTAAATGAAAAGGCGCGCGGACGACTCACCATCCGGATCCAACATGCGAGGTATGTCGAGGTACTTCTCGGCAACGTCGAAGGCCGTGTTGAGGTTCTCCAGGGGATTGTCCTTGCTGAGCTTGTGGTAATCTATGAGATCGGGTCTGTGGCGGTGGATGAGGGCGCAGAACGCAAGACCATCCTTGAAGGACAGATGGAAGTTCTGGACGTTGACGTTCTTGTACGGGGCGGTCTTGCGCTGGCACCAGAGCAACAGACCCTCCTTGGCCGTCATCTCCTCGACCGATATGTCCTGGATGGCGAAGCGCAAAATAATGGTCCATATCATACCGAGGGTCATCTTCAGGTTGCCATCGACGATTTCTACGATTCGGGGGAAACAAAAAAAAACGAGAAAATTGAAGCATCGCGAACCACGTATTATTTTACACAAGGCGCGTGAGAAACCGAGGGATCGCGGCCAATACCTTCGGCACCGATGGAGACGAGCTTGACTCCCTTGCTGGCGATGTAGTCGAGGGCCTTGTTCACGTTGGCTATCTTGTGGAACCTCATCTTGCCGCGGTCGGGCTTTGGCAGGGTCTCGCCCGAGATGACTTCGAGGAGGAGCATCAGCTTCAGTCCGTTCCTGAAGTCCTCCTCGATCGATTCTATGGCAGTGCCTGCCTTTCGTAGGTGCGAGTTGCACCATGCTGTGAAGGTCTGCAAACAGAGATACAAAAAAGACACAAATATTATTCGACACACAATTTGATTGGCATTTCGTTGATGTGCATACATTATTCAGCTGGTTAATTTGTACCGGCAATCAACGTGTGCAACGAAACGGTGAATCTCAGATCATGGCAATTCCCTGGAGCAGGTACACCTGATACGGCAAAAAGCCATGCGTACACACGAGTTGTACACACGCGTATGCCGTGGTAACGGTGAAAAGCAAGTCGGTGTGCTTAAATCAGCTTATACACGTGAAAAAAATTGAGCGTGCGATAAGAGAAAACATCGCGATGCAACATCTACGAACTCGTGGCGCAAAAAAAAAAAAAAAAAAGTAATCATCGAGCGACGCGTAGCTGCAGCAGTTGCTGGATTTCTCCGTGCGTAATCCCGTTTTAAAGAGCCGCGGGCGGTTGGGTTTCACTTATGCCCGACGACGCCGGTCCCGTTGACGCGCAGGTATGTACACCTACGTGCACCAACCAACCCCCATAAGCGCGCGTGCATAATATGCACACAATGGCCGAGAGAAAGAAGGAAAGAAAAAACCCAATGGCTCAACCAACATTGGTTGGGTGCGAAAGGGGAAACAGTTGCTCCTTCACTCGTTATGAACTACCACTGCTGTTGGCCCGTTAACCTTGTCACGCGTATTATATACACATCATCCAATAATGTCAGAGCGCGTCTGCACTTTGACCGATAAACCTGCATTCCACAACGGAGTCCCTCTCTTTATTATTCGCGATGGGAAAAACACGGGTTTTTTTTTTGTCGCGTTACTGTTGTTTCGCGCCACGTATAGCCGTGGTAATGAATACGTCGTTTGTTATATTTATGATTGTCGGTGCACTCGATGTCCGTAAGAAATATTTTCGAATGAAATTCCTCCGAGTTTCTAATCCGTGTGCATATGTGGGGTACTTGCGACGCTTTGAACAAAAACAACTGCGTATACAAAGTTAATTGTCGGATATATGAAGTGGCTGGTGTTGCGTGCCCTTCGGACGGATGGCGAAAGCGCTAAAGTTGAAAAATAATTTTTCCTAGCATTTTGTCAATGTCGAGTTCTCGTTGACGAAACGTTGGGTTAAAATTATCCGGTTACGAATGCGCCCAAAGTGCCAGGGCAACAGCTGACGCTGCTGTACACCGCGAGTTGTGTGTGTATAACGTGATGGATGGCCTGCGAATCAACGGGCCTTGAAAACGCCTTCTTACGTTTTGTTGCATATCGCACACGCGCAGGTATATTACTCGAATGCTTGCTCGACACCGTCTTACCGATTTTCTTTTTTTTTTTTTTTTTTCGAAAATTTTTTTTTTAGAAGCTGCCGGGAAATGTGCCTATTGCGCCTATGGAGCTAAAAATAATTCAATGACACGTGTTAGCGAAGAGAATGAGAATTTATTTTTCAAGATCCCAGGGCAAGCGAAAGAGAGGGGGTGGGAGGCTGAAAATCACGAAAACAGACAACGAAGGCGCGCAAACACGAGGGACGATTCCATCTTATTCTCTGTACCTACAAAGTATGGAGCAATTGCAAATTTTTTTTTTTTAGCAGATTCATACAGGAGAGCAAAAAATAAAGAGAGAGCTATCACGGAGGCAAGCGTTAGAGAGCGCGGGCTAAGCAAGATGCCGCTTTGTGTATATTTTCGTAACGACCCCGATCCCTCCGCGCTATATATAATCTAGTTGTCCTGGTTCTTTGAGACGCCGCGGACGGACGCTACAAACTCGTGCGCTTCCTATCGCCACTCGTCCCCGTCTTCTTCTTCTGTTGCCGATTCACACAATAAACTCGATATTTTGCAGTAATCGGTTACACGAAGCTCAAAATTACTTTCGCTGATGCGATGAGGTTACGCGTTTCTCTAAATTTTACACGGTATACAGGATAGAGGAGGTACATTGTATATATTTAAGCAGCGATAAATCTCAATGAGTCGGTAATTATTTGAAAAATTGAACTTGCCACGAAATACCGTATTGTATTTCAGTCGCGCCTCGCGCTCACACCTTGAAACATTTTATCCACACAAACAGCAAAGGAGGAGGAGGAGGATGGGTAACGCTGTGATTTATGCGCGAGCGAGCAGCGGGTATATAATTAGGCTGATTATTACCACGAAGCGCGATTTTGACTATTTCATAATTTGAGAAACGCCGCCACATGGCGTTGGGAAATACCGACGACAACCTCGGCAATTATAAAAAGATTGATGCGCTTTTAATTGAAAACCGCGAAATTCGTCATCGGAGGATAACAATTCAAGTTCGTTTGGTCGAGCCTCTGCAGTTTATTTTAAAAATTTTCCAAGGTCCCCGCCGCGAAAACTCGGACTTTGAGGGAAAATACCTCCGTTCCGCTTTATAGTTGCGAGTTTTCATAAACACCTCTTCCGCTTGTCGCGCAAATAACGACACTCGGTAATCGTCGAAAAACGGAGGGACGACCTCGAAAATTTCGCGCGGCCCGTCCGCTAAAATTGGATTTTTTCCGGCGCTGAAAAATATCGAGTGAAATTCAAGCCGAGCGGCGTTACGGGGATCGCTCGTGCACGGCGCGAGCCAAAATTGGACATGAGCCACCCCGACTCTCTCCTCGGCGGCTCTCTCCCTATACGATCTATTTGCAAGACATTGGTTCTCCCCCCCCCCTCCCCCCGCGCGAACAAAACCACGCGTTTCGAAAAACATTCGCGCTCCTGAACCCGCTCGCCCCGCGGCGTTGATTGTTTCGCTTTCGCTGTCGTCTATTTGTAGTCTCGGGCACACTTTGTTTCCCGACCCATCGGTGTCACGAACACGCGCTCCCGCGACGAATTTCGATCGTCGGCTCGCCACAAGTCGCGGGTCGAGTTTAAAGGGGGAAAAAAATTCACTACTATTATCGCGCGTGCACAGCAATCGGTGCAATGAAACATGCCGGAGTGGGGGGGGGTTTGGATAGCGTATAAACTGGGCCCTCTCGCGTTCGGGCACGTGCCAGCCGAGCGTCATTAAAAAAAAGGAGTCAAACATCATCTGTCGTGCCCACAACGAAGGGGTTTTTTTCTTGCACTCTCTCGAGCCTCGAAAGTCATGGAACGTGTACGGTAAAAGCCTAAAAAAAAAAAAAAAAAAAAAGGTGAATGACAACAGTGGGTCGTGAAAGAAGCCATCACAATTGGAGCGGACGCGTGGACTTGTTGCGAAATTGTTTCCAAAGTTCAAGCGTGGCTAATGACACTCCGATAAATGCAGTCATCCGACCATTAGCCGCTCGGTACTATCGTATCACGGTAAAAATCAGCTCTCCCCTGGGGGGAGTTTTATAATTTCAATATCAAGCCTCGGCCGTGGCGAAAGTGAAAACCGAGCATTAGCGTAAGGTTTCAACGAGGTCGGCGAAAGCGATCTCGAGAGATGATTATATTCATTTCGCGTCGGCACTTTTTTTAATATACCATCGAGTATCCAGCTCTTGGCCAACAGCAACCTTTTTTTTATATCAGTTGTTGATTTAGCGGCGATGTTGAATTTTGAACGTACCTGGGTTACGAAAAAACTTGGGAAATTCTTGGAAAACATTTTTTTTTTTTTTTTTTTTTTTTTTTTTGGACACGTTGCTCCGATTGAAGTTGAATTGTACACCTATTCGAAACGACTACCACATTTTCGTCTATAATGGGTAACCATAACGTTGGGAAAATAAATTTTTGAAACAATGAAATCAAACGTGGTGCGTTTAGTCACCCTAACTAGACTATACTAGAGTCGAAAAAACGTAGAAAAAAAATTCAACAGCATTTTCTTGCATCAACAGACAGGACCATCGGAAAAGAAATCGATGCGTCGCGCACTAATCACTGCAGCAAAATCTCAAACGGCGACGATTAGCGAGCGCAGGTGGGCTTTACTTATTTAGCATATCATCTTCGATGCGCGAACAGTCGGCAGCATGGGATGCAAAAATAATCGTGAATAATTGACTACGGCTTTCAATTGGCCGCTTACCGGCACCCATACTCGTTACCATATACCCAGCACGTAATTGAATGATTATTGGGGAAGAGCAGCCAAATAACCTCTTTCTCCCCGCCCCTTGGTTCTCAGACGCGAGTAACAAATTGATTCTTCGATGGCCCTTTCGGTCCCAAAATGTCCCCTCATCGACTTCTTTATACGTTCTTTCGCGTTCTTTTGCAGTATAACATCGGTAACGCATAAGTGTACACAATAATTAGGAACGACAGAGAGTCCCGGTCGACGACCCACCGGTAAAGTACAGTTTTTCAAAAACCCCCGCGACTGTACATTATGCTTGTCCGCGATGAATCCGAAAGCGCAATCGAGACATCGGAGAGCTAGCCGCAACATCCGGCCGCGCGTGACCCATACTCTTAACTCTAATAATCCACCTCGACTGCACAATTTTCCCCTTGCACGGGGGGGGGGGTACATTATCCATCCGAAAATAGGTACTTCCGCGAAGGAGCGCGTGTACATATATACACATGGGAGGGTACTTCCTCTCGCGAGGATGGACGAGCGGAATGTATTTTTGGCGGCAGGTGTCCGGAGCGGAGGAAGCAGGTGAATGTTGGCGCCTGGTCGTCGCCGGCTGTTTGCGCGCTCGCACTTATTTCTAACGAAATTTCACTTCTATTCTCAACCATATACGTATACGTGTAAAGGTGCACGTTCATTTCGGAGGCGTGGAATTTTATTGAAAAAAAAATTTTTTTTTTTTTTATTTCGTTTACTTGTATTAAAAATGACAAGATTGCGCGTAGGCGTCGAGTTTCGTCGACAAAAAGGTATATTTTTATCGCGCCACCTGCGTATCGCGCGATCTGCTGTTCAAACAGAGGCAAAAAACAACAAAAGATAAGTCATTCGTATTATTCAGACTCCAACTATAATACACATCTTTGAGGTAAGTATATTATATACGTACATAGGCACTCAAACCAAACACGAAAAAAAATTACTAGGT